TATCTATATGGTGTAGCATTCCTGCCAAGGAAGGAGATTTTCAGGGTTGCTGAATCTGGCATCAAGTTTTCTGTTCGTGGCTCTCCTTGGGAACCCAGGAGCACCAGGTTTGAAACTGAGTTTATAACTCCACACACAAGCTAGCAGAACTAAACATGGCACAAATGCTTGGATATCATTGGCAGAGGTGTCCAACACAGTTTGTTTTCAAGTGATGACAGACCACTTGTGAGATAGCTATAGAAGTAATTGAGAATAATGGAGGAACTTGACTGGTACACTTGAGAATCTGTGAATCATGATGGGGTCTTTAAACCCTGCAACAGAGCATGGCTGTCTTATGCTTGTTGTAATAATTAGCAAAGTAGAAGAGGAATGAAATTTGTTCTGTTGTCAGAGCACTCTGAGACTTATATTTTATAAAAACAACAAACATATCCTTCATAAAATAAGTGCCAGAATATGAAAATATTGCAAGAAACAAGATGAGGATTTTAACAAGAGGTATAAGCTCTCAAAAAAGTGATCTGAAATTTAGAAGATTTCTCTGTTAAACGGTACTTTTTCTGAGATGTATAGATATGAATATGCATAATCTATTATAAACTCAGTTCACCTATATCAAGATATTAATAACAACAAGTAAATGTTATTGGTATAGTGAATAATATAAATTTCCTTCATTAAGTTATGAAATTTATTTTAGGTTACATCAACTCAGTTCAGAAAACAATCATAAGAAAAGTTATTATGTTAAAAGTCAGTGCCTAGGTTTAAAACAGGAATCACTCGGGGCAGTATAGTTGTAGTGAAACATTTTATTTAACTTTGTACGGTGATTTTAAAAACACATTGTTCAAGTTAATCTGGTTAAAAAATCTTTAGGGAGTTCATATTTATAAGAGGCTTTTCTAAATTTCTATGGTTTGCTGACCCAATCTGTGCTGATGAGCCTTGAATAGGCAAAAATGCAGCAGTGGCGTAGCAAGGGTTCTCAGCACTCGAAGGCAAAGACACTTTTGGCGCCCCCACCTCTGAAATGTTTTGATTATTTGTTTTCTGACTCATTACCCACTTAATGACAATAATATACAGAATTAATTACTGCCTTATACAGGCCTAAAATAAAGTCACAATATAACATCTCACGATATCACAACTTTAAACCTGGAACTAATGAAGTATAGCCTACTAGGTGTACTTACATAATTTGTAAACCATTTTGATATTTATGTCATCCAGTATTGTTCAAAGTCACATAGCTAGAGTAATCTTTCAACTAACATTTATAATCTCATATGGTGAAGATGTTTTCCCAAATTTAAGAATTGCATTGCAGATTTGGTTAACAATTGGGGTTTCTATTGCTAGTTGTGAAAGGTCCTTCAGCAAACTGAAATTAATTCTTACATACTTGAGAACCTCAATGACTCAAGAACGACTTAGTATCTTGGCAATATTAAGTATTGAAAAAGACATACTTAATACCTTAAATTTTGATAGTTTAGTTGATGCATTTGCAGCAGCAAAAGCACAAAAGGTTCATATAATGTAACCATGAATACCAGAATGCTACCTGTACAAGATCTAGTTAAGTATATGTACAGTTTTGTAAACTAATAAAATTTGTTATTTGTAAACTTAAGTAGTATTTTATCAATCTGTTTTATAATCCATGTACACCACAAGTGACTGGCTTCTCACATAAAATATAAGTTTCTAAACTAGGGATATAACAGAAATTTATTCCGCATGCTTAAATCAGTTGCAACCATTGGTTCAGGAAAAGCGGTCTGTGTTCTTTTACTTATCAACATTCTACAGTCTTTAATTTCTCTGTATAATTCTGGTCCATCAATATCACCTGGATAGCTCTTTACTAAGTCAGAACATTTTTCTTGCAATTTTCCATCTTCGAAATCTCCAGAAACAATATTTTGCACATCTAGTAGAAATCCAAACTGTGAATCTAGATCTAGTAAGCGAGAAAATCTTCCTGTTATTTCTGTAATTAAGCGATCAATA